CTAACATCCAAAGTAAGGAGTACATTTTACACAGGAACTTTGTATATCTATATTATTGTGTGCATGCCTAAAGTCTAATATAAGAATAAATCAAGCAATGGTTTCAGTTACTTGTTACTCTCATTCAATACAGTATATTCTGATGTTTTTTATTTTATTCCATTTAATTTGTGTTTAAAATATTGGCCCTGACCCATAGATTACACCCTGAAGTTTTGAAACACTGTTCCAGTGTGGTTTGCAGAATATGTACTCTGATCAGACCACATGGACCCCAAACTCATTCTTTTTTACTAAATGTGTGGTCTCAGTTTAATGAGTTCGCCTTCCTACGTCCTGAATTGACTGTAGTCTTCACTTTACTTCAAGAGTCATGGTGAGAATTAAATGAGAAATCATTTCATCATTCATGCAATACTTTTAGAACTGAGCCTAACTCATAGCAGGGGTTCAGTACATACTGGCTGCTTGCCATGATTATCTCTAGAAACCTAATAGAACAAAATTGTAAAGCACCAGGTGGTCCTTATGCCCTCTCACCATGAAACTGAATATCTATCACTCTTCTCCTCCCTACACCTTTTCCAGGTTTCCACGTTTTTCATGCCTTCGGATGTGCCACGCTCACTACAGACCCTCTGCTTTAGTCCAGAAATATCCCTTCACTTTGAATGCTCTTCCTTCTAATATTTCCATCTAACCAAGCCCACCTTGAGCAAAGGGTTTAGAGCAAGCTTAAGATAGCCATTCCCTACAAATGATCTGCTTATCAGGATAGTCCTTGACTGTCACTTCGGAATTTGATTGTTATACAGTTTTCTATACTGATGTTAAACTTTCTCTAAATGGTAAGACTACCTCGCTGTGCCTGAAGTGTTTGTACAGTTTGGTTTGTGCTGGACACTAGCTTTCCTCTTGGAAGTCTGGGGTCTGGTACATACTGGGCACAGTGCCTGCCTAACCAGTCCCTATAAAAATCTTTGACACCCAGATCCAGTGAACTTTCCTGGTAGAAAACACATTTCATATGTTGGTACAATTGCTGGAGTAATAGCATGCTCCCTGCATTACATCACTGGAAAAGCACTCTCAGACTTGACCTAGTTTCCCCTGGCCCTCATACCATATGCCTTTTCTCTATGCTGCTTTCTCACTGTAGTAAATCTAAGCCATGAGCATGCTACATTCTCTGAGTTTTGCAAATCAATGAACCTGAAGAAGGTCTTCAGACCCCTAACATACAAGCTTCCTTGTATGTTCCTTTCTAACCATTTTTTATTCAATGTTAATATTCTCCAACCTCAATCATTCTTTATCTTCATATGTGATTTGCAGAAAATATAGCAGATCCACGCTCCATTTATAACATAATTTTATTGACTATCTCACTGAACATAGGCTCCATAAAAGCATTTATTTAGCCATTTAAGATTTATTGAGCTCTTATACATGTCAGGTACTATGCCATGCATTGATAATATCAAAGAGAAATACAGGTAGACTCCCTTTCAAATGTACCTTATATTTACAGAAAAAGTAAGATGATAGATTGTTCAATAACAGAGAGTGATAGATACTTAAAAAAAAATCAGATCCAGGGACAGAAAATAGCACAAAGCTATTTCCTCTAGGGTGTCAGAAATGGTCTCTTTCAGAACACCCATTTGATTTGGAATCCTGGACAGCCATAGTCCAATCAAGCTTCCCAGAGGTGGCAACATACCATAGTCTGGATTCCCTGAAACTGTGAGCCAAATTCAAGCTTCCCTCCTTGTGGGTAACAAGTACTGTATCTCAATGACGGAAGAGTTGACTGATACACACATTCCACATAATACTTATCCCTCTTAGTCTGCAGAACCCTGATTTTAAAGCCAACGCTATGTGTATTTCTTAAATAAATGGTTCACTTGTAAATATAACACCTCTACCCAGTCTAGAGTAAATCAATCCAATATAAAATCCAACACAACATCCTTTCCATTTGTCTGTCTCAAGCTGAACAGAACTGAAGCACATCAACTAAGTTTTCCCATGATACCATCACAGGAGATCAGAACTGGGAAGAATTGAGCAAAACCAAGCAAAATAACTGCTATTAAGGAAAGTGAAATCTGTAGAGATTTTACTGAAGTTCAACTGGCCAGTTTACAAATTTTAAAGTCCAGTATCTTAATTTTAATCCAAAACCTTCAATCTTCAAAGAACATGTTTTTAAGCCAGAAAAATAAATGAATGAATTCAGAAAGAGCTAAGTGAATGACATATTCATCAAAACTGGGAAATTACATAAAGGATAGATAAGTATCCTCCTTCCACCCAGATATACTGCCTCTATTTCTTTAGAGAGCACTCTTTTATCAACATTAGAGGGAAACAGTAAATAACTGAGCAACCCTCTGGTTCTGGACAAAAAGATTGTATTTCCCTAAATTAAAGGACAACAAAGACAATGTCTAGAATACTTCACTGTTTCTGAACATCATACATTGACAGGTAAATTTTACATAGCTAAGCTGTGATTGAAATGGTAGTGCATCTTAATTCCTTTCCACAAAGAAGCCTAAGAGTTGACCACGTTTTTCGTTTTCAGCCAACTAAGGATTATTTCCCTTGAGGTCTTGGCCTCTATTCCCTTTCTTGGACCTTCCTCATTCTGCAGTTCTGCACAACACAGCAAAGCCTGCAAATCTCCTCGGGTTCCTTGGCAAACCCACATGCTGACACAATTGCTACAGAACTCAACCCATAAAAGCCGCTTCAGCAGAAGCAAGGCATAGCCACTTCAGCACTGATTTTCCTTTTTCTTTACCAATAAAGACATTCTTTGATAACACGGGTGTCCTGAAAAGAGCTTGAGTCAGTCAGGAGTAATGGGGAAAAGTGATAGAGTATGGTACCGAGAGTGTTCATTCCTTCCCTTGTAGCTACTCTATGTCTCAGTGTCCCATTTTACAAATAAAGTTCATCACAGCAGTTCCTACAGAGGCTTGGGAAATAACACTAGTTACACAAGAGGCCCAGTCCTCAACCAACACCCAACAAATGTAGACTTTTATAATTGTGTTTAAAGATTATTAACAGTTAAAATTCCTAACTTGTGGTGCTAAGGCTTGAATCTGTGACCTCACACATGCCAGGCATGTGTTATACTGGATCTCGAGGCCTTGCATTACTCCTGAGTGGCAAGAATCCAGACCAACAAGCCACAGAATGATGCAGCAGAAGGTACCATCCGTGGATGATGTTGACATAAAGGAAAGGGTCTTTGGTGAGTGTGATGGACAAATAAATGACGGGCAGAGACGTGAAGAAAATAAGGTGAATACAGGTACCAATGGAATATGAAACAGTGAACTTTGACCTTAATTTATGAAACACCTTGGGCCAATTAAATGATTGTGGGGTAATCCCTAGAGCTCACAAGGGGCTGATCTAACCAGGACAAGAGGCTGCTATTGGGCTTTTAACAGTTTTTGTTGCTGTTCAAAATACTTGGATCTAGGAATAGAACTTTCAGTGTGTTTAGTTATCATAGAGTTTGTTTTTCTTGTTTCATTATGTACTCCCTACACTCTATATAAAAAATTAACAGTGTTTTTACATTTGGAACTTGTGCCTTTATAAGTTTGCTTTCTGTTTATTATCCAGGTGGTCAGGGAATGGTCTGTGCTATCTAACCAAGCTTGCAGACCCCTTTTCTGTCAGCTGCTTCTCTCCCTCTCCCCCACAGAGTCTTGCTGTAGTCAATTCCACTGAGCTCACTCTTCAAAATCATCTGAGAAGTAAGTGGTTGATGAGTCAGGCATAGTGGTGCCTGCCTGTAATCTCAGTACTCAGGAGGCTGAGGCAGGAGGATTGTTGTAAGTTTGAGACCAACCAGGGCTACAAAGTGAGCTCAAGGCCAGACTGAATTGCATAACGAGACCCTGTCTTAAAGAGACCACAATAAATAAATAAATAAGTACATGGTTGGCTAGGTTGAGGAATTTTGAGGGACTTTCTTGATCTAAATCATAATGTCAGTCTTGTGAGTTCATGCCCAAGTCCTTAGATGAAGGGACATAAAGAAAGATAAAGTAAGTTAAAACCCCAGTAATTTAGTAAATGAAAACTTCAGGATAGATAAGTATAACCCAGCACAGATATTAGACAGGCTTATGTGACAGTGCCAGGAGGCTACTGCATATCAGTCATACAGCGGTCACTAACTCCAGGTAATCTCTTGATCAAGAAAGGAGCAAAATGCCAAACAGCTACCAGCCAAGAAATGTGTATCTGTGATAGAGATCTCAGCAAGTGAACAGGATTGACAGCTCCCAGACCAGAAAAAGACCGTCTCATGGCTATGTAGCAGCCTTATTTTACTCAAGGAACTGGTATGGCTTGGTTTTTTTAAGCAAGTAGTTCAGCATGCTAATCATCTGTAAAACAATGCGTGCAAGCCTTTCATCATCTTATGATTTAATTCTCACAACTCTGCCTCCATCTTTTCCACTCAAATGAGAGTAAATTTGGGGGCTAAATAAGTCATCCAAAGTCACATGGTTAAATGGTGAGGAGTCAAGACTCTCGCTCAGATTTGTCTACTACAAACCTTACTCTCTTAACCATCAAATTTGCAGCCTAGCAGGAGTTTCCACGTGCAGACTCTGCCTAAGCTACCCTGGAAAGGCATGCCTGGTGAAGACGAGAGCAATGCCCACTGAAGAAATACAAAGTGAAGGGACCTATGTTGATTATTTATCTTCTCCCAAAACTAACCACACAATGTCCTAATAATAACTAGGATGTATATAAAACAGTGGGGCTTTGAAAACTATATATATATATATATATATATATATATATATATATATAGTCTTATTATTTAACATTAGAAATAATATAAAATGAAAATCATCAGAGCATAAGAAAAGGTGAAAAAAATTAAAAAATTAAAAAAAGAAAATCAATTTAGCAGCTCCAAAGTCTCAGATTAAATCAAAAGCATACAGCACTCACCTGAAGGATTTTATTGGCTGTTATTACTGGAGCTTCATCATTTACAGATTCAATATTCACAAAAAGAGTTTGGGAAAGACTTTGTTTTCCAAGCACTGAGCTATTTGCAAAGATGGTAAAATCATCATGCAGTGTCTCGCTATCATCATGAATGTAGAAAATCAATTCATTTTCCACCTATAGCCAACAACAATAAAATTACTAACTTGCTGAAATGTGATTTTAAAATATGAATTGTTATCAAGAAATTCTAATTTTGAGAATTTCTCTAAAATACAGAACTATGTCCTCATTCCATGAAGCTTGAGCTGACAATCAGAGGGCCAACTGGGATGGATAGAACAGTTTTTCTGAAATAATACTGCATTCTAGAAATAAGTTTAAGGTGAAACAGAGCAACTGAGCAATGTGATGAAGAAACTGCTAGACTGATAATCAGAAGATTTAAGTTCAACTGCTATTTCTAACACCAAAATGTGTTAGGAATGACATAATCCAGCCTTTCTACAAAGAACAACAGTAAAATTGAGGTTCGATTTGTTTATTTAAAATTGAAGTTGCTGATCATTTTCTTGGACAATTCACACTGTAGATTCAGGCTCTGAAACTTCTCTGACTAATTGTATTTCTCCTCTTTGGAGACTATTAAATTCCCTCCAAATTTCTTTTTTCTCATCAAAGAATACAATGGTCCCTTACATGTTCTTCGTAAATGAGATTACATCTGCTACCTCCTGATTTTACTCTTTCTCCTTCTAATAGTTTTTTGTGTGCCCCCCTTAAGGAACATCTTTAGGGTTCTACACATTATTAGTAACATGCACCTCCTTTGAACAGACACAAAATACACTGGAATCAAATTATTCTATCAAGGAAGATCTTCATCATTGTCATAATTAGAGGGCAAATATTTACTTTTATCTTCATTAGATTTCATCTTTTAAATTTTAATTCTGAAATAATTGTGTCATGACTTAGTCATTCTTCTGGTATTTGTAATAACCCCAAATTTGATCACAATGTCTTTCAGGTCTTTAGATTCTGGTGGAAATACTGTAAAGCAAAGAATTTAAAAATAAAAGGGAAATTGGTTTTAGTAAATCTGTGACCTAAACAACCAACGGCAGATAACTTCTAAACCCCAAAAAGAGTTGTTGAACTTCTGAAAAACTCTCTAGAATTGGGTTTATCATAATAAAATACAGCCAGTTTTTTTTTTAACATTTCAGCCTTATACATTCCTGTGGCTACTTCCCTTGAGCAAAGCCTTTTGATCTCTGCAAAGTATTTCTGACAAGAGTTGACGAGTTCAGGAAACCTCTCAAAAAAAAAAAAAAGTTGGGGCACCTGTATACAGGTGCTATAAAAATTTCTTTGGAGTTCAATGAGCAGAGGAATTCTAGCTGATAGGCTTGACACAGATTCCTGGAACATACTGTTTTCAACTATTCAAAAACAAACATGTAAGGGCACAGCAATCAGAAATTGGGAGAAATTTTAACCCATAGTACTTTAGGAACACAATATTTAAGTAGCAATCATCTCAATTTTTTCTTAGGGAAATATATCATTTCCCTACTAGATTGGCACTTTCCAAAGTGACACATCATTGAATAGTATTAATCATAAGGCCAAGAAAAAAGTGTATTGGATATTTTTCTATTCCTGACTTTAAAAATGTACAGAAATATATTGACGTGAAAAGAAAGGATACAACAAACTTGCATAAAATTTTAACAGGTCAAACCTTACCTGTTACTGTCATCAGTCCTGTTCAGGGCACACTGTGTGATCCTCTGCTTACATCTGCCCACCCCTGTCTCTTCCCTCAGGCTAAAAGATGAAGTCTCCAGCCCTTTCTCACTTAACCTGCTGCTATTCTTCCCCTTCCCATTCACACACATGCAGTTCCCTGGGCACTGGACCATGCGGAACTGCTCAGACACACCAGGTTGGCATTCGGCCTGCAGCTGCTCCCTTTTCTTCCCATTTGCCTGAATGGTCTTCCCTCCGCACACTCAAGTCATCCACCCATTGCCTCCTCCAGGTGTCTGCTCAAAAGCCACTTCTCAGCAGTATTCCCTGACCGTGCTAATAGCAACTGAATGCCCATGTGTGCACATGCACATGTCAGTAAAGGTCCTGGCATTTCCTGTGTTCCTTTCCTGGTTTTTATTATTCTCCATAGTACTAATCTTCATTCAACATGTCATTTATTTCACATCTTTATTTTATTTATTATCTGTCTCTGGATCCATCTCTCTGCCTTAGATTGGAAAAAAAAAAAAAAAAAAAAAAAGCTCCGCAAGGCAGGGATTACTATCTGGTTGATTCATTCACCACTTTATCCCCAATACTCAGAATGCCAATCCCTGACACATAACGAGAATTCGAAAACCACCTACTGAATGAATGAAGGGGTCAGTGCAGGCAGGCACTCCTCCAAGTCATTAAAAGCTAGAGCCACTGGTTTCATGGATTTGTGTCACCGTAAGTGAAAATGACAATGTTTCAAGCCCCAGGGTGTTGGGAGAGAGAGAGTGGAAAGTGGTCATCTAGAAAGCAGGAATACATGACCTTGACTTGTCTCTCTGATGCCACAGGAAACATGTTTAAATCAATGCACAGATTTCAATCAGTCATCCTTAAATACACTTTTATGAGGCACAGTAAGTAACAACTGACCGAGACATTATCAAAATTTAGTGCTTGGTCTCTCACTTAAATCACACCAAAAAAATAATTCAATTCAATTCAACTCACTGAGCTATTACACCTGACTATTACAAGTAATTCGTTGAGCCTTTAAGAGGGAAGCCACGATGAAGAGATCCTGCATGAGGCCACTAAAGAATCACCCTCTTTGGGTCCAAGGCACAGGAAGGAACCTTTTCAACTCTTGGTATTCTTCGTTTCACCCGTGAGCTCTTAAGTCTAGTTCCCTTGACATGCAATTGAGGACAGACTTCGCAGTCCATCTCCAAGTGTCTCTGCCACTCCTCGGCTTATGGGCTGCTTCTCATCCCCCAGCCCTTTACTTAAGACTTTCATGCCCTTGCTCATGCTGTAGGTTTTGTTTGCACTGCCTTTTCCCAGATCCCCATTACCTCAGCTCTTTTTCCTCAACATTCAGATTAAACATTATTCCTTAATGAAGACTTTTTTATGTTCTTCCCTGTACATTCCAATTTGAATCAACTGTACCAGTTCTATTATCCCATAGCATTATATGAAAATGCAAAATGAGAGGCAAGAAGAGGTATATTAAAGTTGCCGTGCCTGGCTCCTTCATGGCATTTCTAGAGTGCAAGGAATATGTTTTATTTAGCACAGTTAACTCCACCCCGTAACTCGGAGTAAGTCTTTAGTAAAGTTGCTCAAATCAGCTGATGACTTGAAATTTTAAAAGTACAATTAAGGAGCACATATATGTTCTTAGCTTACTAGACAAAGATATCCCAAAATAGTGATTACAAATGGTTTCTAGTCTGAAAAATATATACTGATAGAGGATTATAAAAGAAATGATGCATTCTACAAGCTACTTTTTAAAATTTAAAAAGTAATGGAAAGAATTTTTATTCGTGATTTAAAAAAACAAAAGGCTGACAATAATACTATTCTAACCCAAAACAAAGAAGTCCAATGGTAGCCTACAGTTGACCTTGTTTTTGTTTTTGTTTTTTATGACAACTGGATGCTACACTGGCAGTTGTGTCCAGCTCCAAGGAGTAGGTCACTTTGAACATTGACAGCCCTACATTTAGCACAGACATCACAAAGAGCATGTCTCTGAAAGCATGTGTTGGTTGAATGAGAAAATAAATGAATGAAAAAAATCACCAGTGATTAAAAATCTGGTTGTTACCTTAACATTGCTGAGAAATATAGTGGCAACGCAGCATTCATCTAGAATTAGGTAGCTAGAATGGAGCAGACAACTCATGGCATAATAGCAAAAGTTAGATGATGAGTAGTGTTTAACCTAAAGAAGATAAAATTCAGGGGAATTTGATTACTTCCTCTTTCCAGTATTAAAGAGTTCTTATCAATAAGGGTATGATCTATTCTGTGGGACAACAGAGCCAGGACCTGCAAGTTTCTAAGTGGCAGATTTCAGCTCAACCTAAATAATTAACAGTTGCAATGTTTCTAAACTAGAAGGGCCCCCCTCATGAAGTAGTAGGTTTCCCATCTCTGAAGATACTTGACCAATGGCGGAATACTCTCTCTACATGGATGCTATAAAAAGACTTCTAGCATCTGACAGGAGGTCAGACTAAATACCTCACAGATCACATTTCCCATGAGTCTAAATGATAAATGTCAATTTTTTGTCTCTTACCCGACCTACCCAAAAATATTAACTGAGATTTATTACCTGTTTTCTGGTAAATCTCATTAGCTTCACTCCTGGAAAATGAGAGCTTTCAACATAACCATGTTTTGGTGGATCTAGAAGAACAAATTCACAGTCAAGTCCTTCAAAATATTTACTTGGAATTTTGAGGTAATCTTCCAGAAGTGCTCTGGAACCACCTTCTTGAACTGTAAAATTCTGCATCTCCAGAGGAATCAATTTAGGGACAATATCTAACAGGATTTCCATTTCACTCACAATTTTGAAACCATTTATCACATCTAGGAAAAAATGGTCCTGTTTTTGGGCAGGAGCTGTCTGAACATAAAGGATATTGCCATCATCAACATCCTGTTGTGTAAAACTCAAAGGGAACTTTTCATCGAGGCTCAAGCTGCCTTCTTCTGGTGTAAACTTTTGGAGGTATCCATGCATTGGTGGAGTTCTTACCATGAACGCTGCCTCTGAAGGAATATTGTATTCATTCCAGCCTTGAATTTACATGCACAACACACAGGCACAAAAAAGAAAAACATATTAATAAACTTAAGAGCCAACACTACTGATTAACAAAGTTATTTTCTACTAATGCCCACAAACAGCTTAAATTACAATCAGACTTGACACACAATTTAAGCCGAGATCTGATTGGGTGTCCATGACAATATTTTCAATACCAGCTTCAGTTATGCAGAAAAATAATGGCCAACAACACTTCTGTAGCTACAAATACATTAACACGGCCTCATATGCAGTAACAAAAAATACCAGAACTCAGAAAGTTTAGATGAAAGAAATAAATTGTAATTAGGAGAAACAAAAGGTCATAAAAGAAACGGAAGTTAAATCACTAAAACTGTAAGGACTTAGAAGAAATATTTTTTTCTCATCTATGTCAACCAGCTCAGCATTTTCCACACACTTTTAATTTACTGATTCAGCAGAATCATCTCAAAACTGTGTTTGCAACTGACTTACAGTCACTGAAGTGCACACGCCCCTTGTGGTGAAATATGCCCATTAACTCTCCAAACCCGAAAAAGAATTGAGAAAAACTGCTGGACCTTCTGATCTCTTAGTCAAAACTCATTATTTAGTAAACACATTCTGATTTTTTTATTAGTTAATTTTTTGGCTCATTTTAGGTAGGTATACATAATGATCACATTCATCATAGGTAATTTGTACCTGTACATGATATAACTTGATTATTTTTTCCCATTCCTCTACCTTCCTTTTAACCCCTCTTGAATTCATTTCTATTTGATAATATTGGATGCATTTAGCACATACATTTGCAGTCCTGAAGTTAGATTCAGAGTGGTCTGTGTTTGTGGCCAATTATCATCAATATTAGCTTTCTCCCCCGTACCCTGTACAAGATGACCCTGAGCATCACAACTCTCCTAACTGATCTGCAGGGTTCTGCCTACTGTGTTTCCAAGCAAAAGCAGAGCAAACCAGGTGTTCTCACCTTGCTCCTGGTATCACACTGGCTAAGTCAGTTTTATCTATCAAATTTCAGGGAACTAAACAAAGGAACATTCAGAAATAAGGAAATAAGCTGTATTATATAGTATCTTCTGCTGTCATAGAAATTCTTTTTAGGTTTATTAATTACTGCTTCATCTCATCATGAATGTAACTCTGAACAAGTAAAATATTGGCAATTTTTGTTAACAATGAATAAAAGTAAAAATCTCTTATGTTTCCCTTCCTTAATCCTAAAGTACTACACCAAACACACATTCAAATGAATGCATTGTGAACACAGCTTGAAAATAAGGCTGGACATTACTTATATGCCATTTCCAACTATAGGAAACCTGGTACTATTACATGCATGAAACCCTCCTACATTTCTTCTCAACAGTATCCACATTCTAATCACTTCTAATACCAGGAGAAAAGTCAATACAAAAAACAATCTTTCAGAAGTAACCAAATACATCATCACCCTCTGTGATTCCAGAAAACAAGACTGCTTGGTGCTTAGGATGACACTTACCTGAAGCCTTCCTCTGCTCAGTTTTACTGGTTTTCCTTCTTCAACTATGGGGGTCTTTCTGTGCCAAACTTTACTGTGATGGTGGTGATCCTCCAACTCCACTTGAACACAGACCCCCACTTCTAAGTATGCATCTTTAAGTTTCACTGTCAAGTTGAATGTGTCAGAGTTGCCACTGCCATCGTGCCTATAAATCACATGTCCTTTCTTCAAGTCATGTTGGAAAAAGGATGAGGACACAGAATTGCTGACTAGGATTCTGCCATGCTTTGGGGGCCACGCAATGTGGAACTCAACCTCGACATCTGCTCTGACATCTTGGTTTGTGGTAATGCTCAGGTTAGCTGCTGTGAGGCAGCTGTCTTTTCCTCTCTGTACAAGAAGCTTGGTGTTGTTTGCTATCTGAACATAGGGGTCTGACACAATGACCTCAAGAAAGGATGAAGTGTAATGAACACCATCTGTCACAAATAGCACAAAGCGGGCAGAGTCTGCACCCTGATGTTTGAAGAGGACGCGTCCTTCCCACAGATCTTCCTGGGTGAACTGGTAAAGTTTTCCATGGGGTTGCTAGCTCGTACCAACTCTCCATTTGGAATGTCCCGCCGGGTGTACAGCAACTGCCCGTCATCAAAATCTAAGTCAGGGTCATGGTAACAGAGGTCTGCCAGGGTCAATAAGTGCTGGCCATTCCACACAACATGAAATGCCTTATCTACTACATGCACTAGCCATTCATCATTTTGTAATTCAACAGAAATGTTGACTTTGATTTCTGTAGATAAATGCTCCAAATCAAAATCCTTGGCAACTCCTTCCTGGTGTGGAAATACCACAACAAAGAACTCATCACTCTGCGTCTCGCTCGCTATGTTCTGATCAGTGAATGCTGTGATACTGTCATTACTTTCCAGGGTATCTGAAAAGCTAATCAATTTCAGGCTCCCATGCTGAGGACTCTTAATGACTTTATATTGGAAGATATGATTGTCTCAGGTTTGAACAAATAATTCTGATTGTGTGATCAATTTCCCTTCCCCTTCTTTTACAAGCAATTCTCTGTTTGTTAGAATAAATGCATGTCTCATCTGCTTTCAAGAGTATTCTGAAAATATAACATTTTTATTCTATGTGTTTTGCAATAATCAAAAATTTACAAGTATCCCATGAGTCTTCCCTTGGCCTCTGCTGAGGTTCATAACTAATCTGAGAGTCTGTAATATTTTTTTGGCTGAATATTGAGTTGGTTTTTAAAACTTGATTGTCAAATAGCAATTTTCCTTTCTTAGGTGGAGTCAGTAACTTGAAATATATTTCCCTCTCTGCTACTTCCACACCTTCTGTTGTAGCCTGCAAATGATCTGAATTCAATACTTCCTTGTTCATAGTATTGATCTCTAGAAGAACATTTTTCACAAGTGTAAATTTCAGCCATTGTACAGTCACAGGAAGCATGAGCTCTTTGCTGACCTTTCCTTCTATGGTAACTTTAAATTTAAAATGATCCGTAACATTTTCCTGCTGTAGTTCTTTGAATGTACTATAGTACCGAACCCAACTCTTATTGATGGAATGCTGAGAAAAGTTACTAACTTGTTTCCATTTCCCATGTGACCCCCAATGTTGAATCTGGCCAAACTGAGGTGGGTGAGTGATGTCATAGTGAGTCTCCATCTCATGATATTCACCATTAACCTCCACTGATAAGTTACTCAGTGTAATCAGAACAGTACCACCCCGTGGTACAACCACATCAGTCCTACTGGCCACTTCAAAGTTCCAAGGAACAGCCATAACCCGTAACATTGCTGTGTTGCTAACCAGCTCACCATCACTTGCTCTCAGGACAATTCGAGAGTTGCGAAGCCCACGGTGCACATAAAAAATGTTGCCATCTGTTAAATTCGTGTGTGTGAAGCCATTTATGGTTCTTCCAGGTTCGTTGGCATTTTCTAAAAATCCAGCATCTAAATTGAAGTTGCCAAAAACTGAAAAACCAAGACTCAAAGAATCTGTGTCAGAATCTGACACCTGTATTATATTTGGGGTCAGCCTTTTCTTCAAGTTCTCAAACAAAGAAGCATGTTTCCTTCTGGGAGTTTAAGATAAGGGGGGTCATTCACTGGGATGACATTAATGTTAAAGACATAGGGATCATGGTCCTGCAGATAGAATGGCATTTCCTTCTGATTCTTAGAAGTGATCAAAAATGTGAAGTAATCCATAGGTTCTTCTGAACCATCATGGACATACCACACCTTTCCTTGCTGTAAATCTAACATAGTAAAAGCCTTTGCCCTTTCTTCCTCAGATGAAACATCTAATTGAAGGAACCCATGAATAGGCATTTCCTTTATTGTAAACAGTATTTGAGAACAATTGAAAACCAATTCCTTAAATTCCATATTCACCTTCATATGCTTTTGTTCCAGTAGGGTTTGACCATCTTCTTGAACCTCCAAGCTATTCAAAACCAAAAAAGAGCTACTTTGATCTTGAGGAAAAAGTTGACAGCATCAGGGACTATGGTGGAATGGAAAGCCTCTGACTGAGGCAGATTTGCTAGTGTTATAACAGAAGGAGTTGCATTATCAGTATTCTTGATTTTGCACCCAGAAGAAATATCTTTGGAAACTAAGGCATTCCTCAATGCTCTCTTTTGTGAGTTTGCTTTCAAGTCTTGTAAGCAGCCTTTCAAAGAGATTCCTCGAAAAGATTTCCTAGGCACAGAGGCAAGGTCTAACATCTTCACATCTTTCCACAGTTGATTGTCAAGACCTCCTACAAAAAGGGGGCCTTTTGATATAAATGGCTTATTTTGCAAAAGCAGCAATGTCCTTACTCCACGTTCATCTACCATGAGATCCAAATGTCCTCCCGTGACCTAGAGTTGAATAGCATGCCATTTGGTGTCACTAATTAAAAGAAGAAAGCTCAGTTTTACTTGTATTCATTCCTATGTGAGCCTTCAACCAACCCTCATGTATTTCTGATTTTTTTTTTTTTTTGTACTTTTACCGGTACTAGGGATTGAACTCATGACCACGACCACAGGCTTGCAAGACAGGCACTTATGCCACTGAGCTAAATCCCCAGTCCCCTACCTTCATGTATTTCTAAGGCAACAAAATCTTCCTTACCTGACTGAAATAAAAGCAAGACTTGCTGAGTTCCAGTTTGCAAAGCAAATTCCAATACCCCTCCCCCTTGCACCTCCCATTCTGGAAAGGTGACATAGGATCTAGAGCTACAGAAATTGATGGCTTCATCCTCCCCTACAAAAAACTGTTCACTGCATCCTAGTGACATGTCATAAACTTTCTTAAACCCAGGGTAAGATCGAAGAGATATTAGGATCTCTGTATAGTTAAATACCACATCCTCCATACATCCTCGGAAGTCGGGGACCTTTCCATCTAGATAAGAGACATTAAGTCCCCCATGGCCTCCTATGTGGATTCCATGTTGAAAGTTAAAACTATGCATCCCACCAGCCACTTGGCCACTTGTCTCATAATGTTTATCAGTAAGCAAGGAAAAATTATCCTTAATAAAATACAGTTCCACCAAATGCCACACCAAGTCATCCACACGAAGTCTTTGCTCATGGAAAAGCACTTGTTCACCTGTGCCCAAATTCACTCTCACCTGAAAAAGAAAGAATTATAATTGACCACTTTCATCTTATTTCTCATGCCATTGTGTTTTGCTGAAGAAATAAGGCTGGTGTGGTCTGAACATGGTTTTTCCCTACCAATATTCCTATTGGGTGTTGGACCCCAATGCAGCAGTATTGAGTAGTACTGGTCCTTTAAATGGTGGGTAGGTCATTAACAAGATTAATATTTTTCTCAAGAGAATAAGGCCTCACTTTTGTGAAACTAGATTAGTTAATACAATACCAGGTGGTTAGGACAGGCTGCAAGTTGTCAAAATAGGTTGTCATAAGGCAAGTCAAATTTTCTTGGTGTTGACGCTCTTTTTCTCTCATTATATGCTTCTTTTCATCATAAGGCTCTCGCCTGAAGTGGAGCAGATACCGGCACCACTTGAAACTGAAAAACTGTGACAAAACCATAGGCATTTTTTGTTTAAAAAAAAAAACAGGAAATAAACTAAGATTGGGGCCCCCTGCACACACTGACACCCCCCCCCACACACACAAACACACACATACATTGAGAGAAAAAGAGAGAAAAATGGGCTTAAAAACTGTTTTACCTTTATAGATTATATGTTGAAGTAAAAAAACTTTAGGACCAGACTGTTTAAGAAATGCTGGCATAACTGGACAATGCCCTATCCTGTACAAATGGCACATCACTTTATTCTAGTGAGGTAACACTAATCAACATGCATAGCTATTTCCCCTTTCTTGCTTGCTTTTTTCTCTCCAGTAATTGAACATGTAGGTGTTTATATGGACTTTTAAAAACCATACCCATAAGTTTCCTGATAGAAGTTCTATTATGCAATAGTCACTTTTCTAAGCTGCAAGAAAAAGTAATCCCTGAGGTTTGCTGGCTTGAAATTTTAATTGAAGAGATAGCTCAGAGGAAACTTCTATGTTGCTGAGCTCCACATAGCTTTCACCATAAAAAGACACTAAAGGAGAAAAAAGCATAAAGTTACTACATGGATTAGACAATGGCTATTTCATTTCATTATCATCCTATTTCAGGGACAGACCCGGCTGAAGAAGGCTGCCTTGCCCAAGGCCACACAACTTTCCAGGGTGACCCACAGGTTCAACATTTGTGTGCACAGATTCAGCGTCCTCTGACCCTACACAGGGCACCTCTAAGGGTTATTCCTTCTTCTGAATCCTCAAGAGGATTGATGATCAAGGCTTTTACTGAAACTAAATCGCAGCTCAACTTCACTGTCTAAAACTGCATTCTTCCTTCCAACTGGGTTTAATTTTAAGAACTTTCTCTTATAAACCTCTTACATCCTAATTTCCATCTCAGACTCTACTATCCTAGGAATCTAACTTGTGATGATTGATACTGGACGTGGCCTGAGAAAGCAATCACTAGAATGAGATGTGCAGCTAAACCACTTACCACCGTGACAGTAATTAGGATCCCATCACTGATGATAGGGAATCAGTGATAGTGGGCTGCCACAAGAACATATTGATCCCGCTATGAAAAGTATAGGGCAAAAGTAACTATGAGAACAATGGAATTTGGTTGTCTAGCGACAAGATTGAATGAAGCTCTGGGAAAAGATAAGGGAGAGAAAGAAGAAATTAGCAATTACAAGCTAAGTGTGAAATCCAGGTCTCTGTGGCTAAATGCAAAGTCCTTTTCACCTCCTACAGCAGGAAGGGAGAGGAAGCTCAGTCTCAGATGCAGGAATTAGGCATCAGAGTAGTCAAGCTAACTAACACAGGCTTGCTTTTACAAGGCCAGGGCCCTCATTGGGATGACTGAGATCCTGCCATAGAGAATCGCATATGTAGGTAGACACATGAATTCATCCTGAGTCTCCAGAACCCTTGGGCGCTCTGATCCTGCAGAAGTGTCTCATCCTCCTATTAAGACAGCCACTCTCCCCTGATTTAAAAAAAGACACAGAAACCTCTTTCTGCAGGGCAATCTCTGACCTCTGAACATATGATGGTATTTCTCTCCCTGCCTTTTAGACCAAAAATATGGGTTAAGTTACAACATAACTTGTGCGAGGACGTATTGGTTTTGATATGGAAGAAGGGAGCTTGATCCTAAAAGAATTTCAAGGCCTACCCAAAATGTATAGCTAATAGCTAGAAGAATATATATGGGGCTGAAGAAGCTTGACTAGGGCAGGAGTTGAATAGGGAAGAGTTTCTAGGTTTTGGAACACCCTCTGAGATACAGGACATAACACCCTGGCAAAGACTCCTGAAAACAGTCCAAACTCACTATTAAAGTGGCTTCTAGAAGAATGGAAAATGAAATGGCCCATTATAAGTGAGAAAGCAATGGCAGAATGGCCATGGAAGATGGTGGAAGAAGAGATTAAAAGGGTGAAAGTGGTATGTCCTCAACTGAACATGTAGAGGGCCAGAAGGCATAAGCAAGCCACATGAGATGGTAGCCCCAACCTCCTGTCACTTACCATGGTTGTATCAGCACCCTTCCTTCAGCTTACAAGTATGGCTGCATAAGAATCTCTTACTGCCAGCTGATGAAGAACAAATCCCCTGAGTGTGATTCATGGATGAGTCGGCTTCATCTTATGGATAAAACTAGAAAATAGACTCTCACTATACTTTAACTGTTCCTAGCAGTGACCATCTTCTGCATCTCCCATGAGTTTCCCAGGACCAGGGGCCAATCTTTCATATCTTTAGTACATATCATAGTGCCTCACACAAAAGTGGTATAATATATATATTCTGTTGGTATCCCATCTAGAACTCTGTTAACAGCTATACTCAAGCTACTGAAATGCAGTATACAGAAACCCCAGTGAACTCACACCTTTACTTGGAAGGAAACTAATAACCAGTCACTTGCTGAAATAAAATTCAGTGCTACAAACCACGCTCCTCCAGAGCCTGGGATGGATACGATGTCAACTAAAACCACATCTATGCTTGGCTTCTCTTGCCCTATCCTGCTTCCCTTGCTTTCTTAAAACGCTCCTGGGAGAAATCACTCAATAATTCTCTTACTCTAGAATCTCTGTCTCAGGTTCTCTCTCTAAAGAATCTGACCTAAATTAACTAGAGAGCAAGAAAACATTTATTATGTTACATAAAACTGACGTATTTCAGGTAATGAATGTAATCATTATCTACTACAAACAGGTACTGATAAAAAATTTTAAAAATAATCACCATTTTTATAGACCAATAACAAGTTTGCTGAGACAGCAATCATGAAAGCAATTTCATTTAAAATAGCTACAAATAGAATAAAATACCTAGGAACAAACAATCAAAGAAGTGAAAGATCTCTATAATAAAATGAAAAAATAAATTAAAGAAAACCCCCCAAAATGGTCTTCCCATATTCCTAGATTGGAATAATTCACCTTGTTAAAATGTCCACACTATCCAAAGTAATTCACAGATTCAATGTAATATCCATCAAAATACCAATGATATTTTTACATAGAAAAAAAACTAAAAACTCTCATTGAAGCACAAACAACTATAAATAGATAAATAATTTCAAACAAAAATAACAAATTTGGAAACACCATCGTACCTAATTTTGGTATGATGGTACTGGTACCAAAATAGTCAGACTAAAGGACTAGAATGCAGATCCCAAAATAAGCTCAGATATCTACAGTCAACAGATTATTGAAAAAGGAACCAAAAATAAAAATTCAGAGAAAAGAGAGTCTCTTTGATAAGTGATGCTAGGAAAATTGGGTGTCTCTATGCAAGAAATTGAAACTTGACCCATTTCTCACTTTGTACAAAAATAAATACAAAATGGATCAAACACCTAAATGTAAGACTGAAACTCTAGAACCACAATAGGTAAAGATAGGCAAGATACTATCAGACAGTAATATGGACAACAGTACTTTTGATATGACTCAAAAGCACAGGAAATGAAAGCAAAAAGAAAATGAATGTGATTGCAACAAATTAAAAAGGCTCCACACAGCAAAGAAAACAACAGTGAAGAGAACCTACAGAACAGGAGAAAACACTCGCCACCTATTCATCCAGAAAAGGATTAAAAGTCAAAATGCATAAGGAACTCAAAAAATTTAACAACAACAGAGAAAGAAGTAATTGAATCAAAAACAGGTAAATTATCTGAATAGAATCTTCTGTAAAGAAGAAATACAAATGACCAACAATATGAAAAAATGCTCAGTATCCTTAGCCATCTGAGAAATGCACATCCAAACGATAATGTAATATCATATTACTTCAGTAAGAATGGCTATATTAAAAAATAAATACTGCTAAGGACACAGAGAAAAAGTAACTCTTATATACTGATAGTACAATTATTATGTACAATTAGTACATATTAGTACTAATTAGTACAATTATTATAGAGAACGTTGTGGAGATTCCTCAAAAAACTAAAAGTAGATATACCATCGGATCCCATCTCTGGGTACACAGGCAAAGGAAACAAAACTGGCATACAAAGGAGACTTCTGCACTCCCATGTCTATTGCATTGCTATTCATTAATAGTTAAGATATGGAGTCATTCTAGTTGCCTATTGCCAGAAATACAGGTAAATAAAATAAGATACATACATGATTATTATTCAGCCATGAAGAAAAACAAAATCTTGTCATTTGTAGTAAAATGAATGGAACTGGAGGACATTATATTAAGTGAAATAAGCCAGATACAAAATGACAAGTGACGCATGTTCTCTCTTCTATGTGGAAGTTAAAAAAAAAATCAAATTCAATATAGAGAAATGAGGAGCAGAGGCTGAACAGGAGGGAAGGAGAGTAGATAAAGGGAGGTTGGATGTGATCTGCACATATCATATGTAAGTACTGAAATATCACACTGAATCCCACCAATATGTACAACTAATATGTTAGTCAAAAACTTTTAAAGTCAATATTAATAAATAAGTAAATAAAACTATTAAATAATTAAATGCAATAAAACTGCAAGTTGAGCTAAAGTCATTAAAGACACAAGGAATTATAAACTCCAAAGCTCTCTCTGAATTTACTCTTCTGGCCTCCATATTACTGAATCTTCACCCCCATCTCTGTTTTTGATGTTTAAAGGCTATATTGTTAAGAAGTGCTCAAAACCAGAACATGTTTTCTAAGTTATAAAAGCTACTGATGAGAATGACTAAGTAACGTTAACAAACAATATCCCCATGTTTTCCCACGTTTTACCTCTTTAGCACTAAATCAAGTTCAGTCCCAGTTAGTAGCCAGGAATTTCCATTGCCTCAGGAGAAAACAAGGAAGTGGGTTCAAAACTTTTGCTTTGGTAGCCTGAAGCCACTTTATGTCCTCACATACCTTCAACTTCACCCCCAACCCCGTTGTGTAATCTTTAATTATGTGTCTCAAAATACCAGCAAACACCAAACAGAAATGCAAGTGAACTTGGCTTCTCAACAAAGGTAATCCTTACTGCAGTGAAGGAAAGGGTATGGTTTCTATATCACTGGAACAAATCAGGTTAAACAGAAATCAGAGATGATGTCCTGGTTCTTCTGTGTGCTTATATAAAAGGTGAAATGCTTGAATGGAAGCCAAAATTTGGTAGGCAAATATTTTTCCTGAAAAGTAAACATTTATATTGGCCTGCAGTCCCTCCCAAATCTGTGATTATTATATTTATTACTGTATCATCTAAGAATGGGTTCTCATTCCTTCTTCCAAATGGTGTTTTTCTGGCGTTTTATTTGATTTGGGGTTTGTATTTGTTTGGCTTACTATTTCCAGATTTTGGGTTTGGTATCTACTTAGAAGATGAGAAACCTGAAGGAAAAGCTTAGTTTTGTTTTGTGTTGCTGATGCATATAGAACCAGAAATTCTCAGTGAAAGTTTGGGGAACAAATAAATGACTCACTAACCAGATCTCCATGGACAGAGAGCTATTCACCAACAGTATGATCTATATTAAGGAGAATTTTCTATTAGGGAGAGACAG